GTCAGCACAGAGCCCTACGTGGGGCTTGAACTCATGAACCGTGAAACCATGACCTGAGCTGAAGTCGGGCGCCCAACCGACCGAGCCACCCAGGCACCCCAATGTTTATTTATTTTTAAGAGAGAGAGAGAGAGAGACAGCATGAGCAGGGGAGGTACAGAGACAGAGGGGGACAGAGGAACCAAGCTGGCTCTGACCTGACAGCAGAGAGCCAGATGCAGGGCTCAAACTCATGAACCACAAGATCATGACCTGAGCCAAAGTTGGATGCTCAACCAACTGAGCCACCCAGGTGTCCCCAAATGTTAGAAACCTTTAAAAACTAGGGGCTCTTTCTCTTCCTAGACCTGATATTTGCTGCCAAGACACTTCTACCCACTAGCCCTAGTCATGTCCTTCTGAGTTGTATCATCTAAATCTAATTTCTGCAGAATCACTTGAAACACCTTATAAACATTTATAAGCTAATTCTTTTTTTGAATACTTTCTGTTTTTAATTTTTTAATATATTTTTTAATTTTATTTTTTTAAATTTACATCCAAATTAGTTATCATATATTTACGCTAATTCTTTATGTGCATGGACACTGAGTACCTTCCATGAGTTGGGCACAGTGCTAGCTATGGACATACAAAGGTGTACAAGGCAAGATCCCTTCTACCATAAGGTGTGTATTTGTAAATTAAGCCATGTTATAGTCAAAGGCAAAACCCAAGCTAGGAGTTTCTCAGATTTAGTGGAAGTAAGAAAAGACACTGTTAATCATTCATCTCATTGTACTGTAATACTGAGACCCACATGTAATAGATGTTTCCCTTGGGTGAGATAAAACAAGTATACCACTAAATCCCTAGATATTCTCTGCACCAAAAAAAAAGAAGTTGTAATTGATGGAATAAATCCCCCCCCCCTTTTTGTTTTGTCCTTAGCAACACCACAGACATGATAATTGCCCACTATGTGATGGTGGACAAGTTAACTTCTCAGAGGTTCAATTTCTTCATCTATAAAATGGGTATAATAGTATGAAGCTCATATAGTTTTGTTTGATGGAATAATAAATTTTCTTTTTCCTAAAAGAACAGACTCTTTCATATATATATGAAATATGCAGAGGCGCCTGGGTGGCGCAGTCGGTTAAGTGTCCGACTTCAGCCAGGTCACGATCTCGCGGTCCGTGAGTTCGAGCCCCGCATCGGGCTCTGGGCTGATGGCTCGGAGCCTGGAGCCTGTTTCCGATTCTGTGTCTCCCTCTCTCTCTGCCCCTCCCCCATTCATGCTCTGTCTCTCTCTGTCCCAAAAATAAATAAAAAACGTTGAAAAAAAATTAAAAAAAAAAAGAAATATGTATACATTACATTGAAATATATATCATGTATGAAACACATGCACGCGTGCACACACACACACACACACACACTGTATATACTGTATACACTGTTACAGTTCCCTGAGAAAGGGCTCAGGGAAGGAAATACTGTGAACATGGTTAAATGTATAAATACACTCTATATATCTGTATACATAACTACTTATGACTAATCCACTTAGAACACTACATTAACTTCTCATTTTATGTACTACTTTTTATTGATCTTGGAGCCAGCAATAAATTGCCTTGTTTTTCCATTTGTTTATTTTTCTTATTATTAATTCCAAACTCTCAAGCCAATTATCTGAATCACTGCTCACCATATTCAAATGCTGTTTCATTTGCCTGAAGACCTCTTTCTTGGGTCCTTGCGAAGTTTCCAATAAGATAGGTTTGCTTTGTGCCTGGTACAATAGCAGCTGTTATTCTGATATTACCAGTACTTAGTATCATGGAAATACCTTCTTTTTCTGGTGTTTGATATCCTATTTCTTAAATCTAATTCTTTCCTCTCCTTTGATTTAATTATTTGTGTTGGTGGGATACATCCTCCAGTAATTCCCTGGAAAAGGGCACAGGGAGGAACTACTTTGACCATGACTAAAAATGTATTTATTCTACCCTCACACTTGACTGATACTTTGGCTATTAAATTCTAAATTGAGAAGAATTTTCATCTAGGATTCTGGAGACAATACTCTATTGTCTTCCATATTCTAGGGTGCTGTTGAGAAGCTTGAAGCCATCTGATTCTTTAAAAAAAATTTTTTTAATGTGTATTTATTTTTAAGAGACAGAGACAGAGCACGAGTGGGGAGGAGCAGAGAGAGAGGGAGACACAGAATCTGAAGCTGGGTCCAGGCTCCGAGCTGTCAGCATAGAGCCCAATGTGGGGCTCGAACTCGTGAACCACAATATCATGACCCAAGCTGAAGTCGGACACTTAACCAACTGAGCCACCCAGGCACCCCAGTCATGCTGATTCTTGAACTACTGTTTTTCATCTTCAGAAGATTGTAAAATCTTTTCTTTGTCCCCACTATTCTGATTTTTCACAAAGATGTGCTTAATGAGGGTCTACTTTCTTTTGGATTCTTGGAGTGTATACATTCTGGGAACTTTTGTCCTTCAGTTTGGGAAACAGTCTTGAATTATTTTTCTGTTGATTCTCTCTTCTCTATTTTTATCTTTCTAAAAATCTCTAGTTTTCATCGGTTGGATCTTCCTCTAATTTTATATATTACCCTCTATTTTTTTAAGCTCTTCATCTTTCTGCTCTACCATCAAGGAAAAACCTCCTCAGTGTATATATCTAGTCTCTTGTTAAGTTTTTCATTTGTTTATCATTGGGGGCCATGTTTTCTATTCTCTGAATATTTTCTTTCCACACAGCATCCTATCTTTGTTCTGTATGCAATAGTTTCTCTCAATTCTCTGAGGGTATCAAGGATAGTTTTTGTTTTTTAATATTTCCTCCCTGAATACACTCTACTTCTTCCACTTTGCTTATATGCTTTGTTCCCTATGTTTGTTCTGGTTTCTATCTTTCATAGCAGACGTTTTCCCCAGATCCTTATATTTTTACTCATGTATAGAAGTGAGGCACTATTTAAATTATAGATTGGAGCTCTGCATGTGTGTCAGCTGAGGGGCATTTGCTGATTCTGGGCTTCACCCAGGGTGATCTGGCCAGGTTTTCTGTATTGTCAATTATTTTATTTTATTAAAAATTTTTTTAAATATTTATTTATTTTTGAGAGAGACAGAGCATGAGTGGGGGAGGGGCAGAGAGAGAGGGAGACACAGAATAATCAGAAGCAGGCTCCAGGCTCCCGAGCTGTCATCACAGAGCCTGACGTAGCGCTCAAACCCACGAATGGGGAGATCATGACCTGAGCTAAGTCGTATGCTCAACCAACTGAGTCACCCAGGTGCCACAGTATCGTCAATAATTTTAGATATTTCCTCTTGGCCTTGTCAGATTTCTTAGAAAAGGATATTCTAACTTTAGTGGGGGAGAGTACAGGGTTGAAGGGAGCTATTTGTAGATGTTCCTTTAATTCCTCTGTTTTTCAGCATGGTATTACCAATCTCAACTGAAGTGGTCGGAGCTAGTTTAGTGACCCTCTGATGCCAAGCCTCCAGTCTTATGCCAGAGTAATGGAGCAGTGAATGTCTAGCTACATGGAATTTGGAAAGAGATCTGAGAATCTGTTTTTCAAATAGATTTTCAATGGAATCTCTCATTTCTTAGTCCTATTTTACCCTTCCTCTCAGAAAGACATGGTATCACCAATTTCTGAGTCTTTCTGGGGTGGAATCTTCTGCATTCAATCATGTTGCATCATGACATTTCTCATTGCCAGCTGCTGGCTAAGCCAATTATTACTGGTCTACCTGCTTTCTAGCTTCCACAAGTTTGTTGATATGTCTCCCCTCCCATCCTAACCCTTTATAGGGTCTTTTGATGACCAAATGACATATAAAGCACGTGGTACTTTTAAGTAATTAAAAAGTTAGTTCTCACTCGTATCTTTACTCCTAAAAGTTTGCAGAGACTCTTATTTTAAAGAGCACAGTTTTTACTCACAAATCAAGTCAACTTTCCTAGCATGAGGTCCCCAAACCCCAGGACTTGGTTTTGACAGAGACTATCTGTTCCAGGGGAAACCAGGCCTCATTCTCTTCAATACAAGTGTATAATAGCTGACACCAAAAAAAGGACAGAAATCAAAGCCTCTGAAAATTAAGATAGCTTGCAATATAATAAATTGTTATGAGTACTACAGTTGTTATTGTTTTTAAAAGCCCTACTTACTATGGGAAATTAATAGTCTTGGAAAAATAGCTTTCAGAAATATCAACAGTCAAGCATATGCTGAAAACACCCAAGGGGCACCTGGATGGCTCAGTCGGTTGAGTATCTGACTTTGGCTAAGTCATGATCTCTCAGTTCATGGGTCTGAATCCCAGGTCGGGTTCTCTGTGATGAGTACAGAGGTCATTTTGGACTCTCTGTTCCCCTCTATCTCTGCCCCTCCCTCCCTCTCTCTCTCTCTCTTCCTCCCTCATAAACAAACAAACATTAAAAGACCCACCCAAGCAAGAATCCATTGTCTTTCATTTATTGCCTTGATTTTCTAAATAGCTTGTGGATCAATCCTACGAGGTTAAGCTAGAGCATTGATTGCTTAGTTACTGCACAATTGGAATGAGGTCTTGGCAGCAGAGCAGCCTAAGCCCTGGAAGGGGCTGGGAAGAAAAGGCTAAATTACCCATTCCCAGTTCTTAGAAAACAGCCAACTTTATAACAGCATCCTCAGGATATACAAAGGCACTGTGGACACCACTTATCACAGAAAAGGGGCTCTTTACTTCCTCACTAGATAGGATTAAGCTTGCTATACTAGGCAAAACCAAAATTCATTGTGTCTTTTCTTGGAATGACTAGCTGTACTCAGAAAAAGGTGCTACTTTCAGTCAGTCCTTCCCCTCAAAGGTGCTAACCTTGCTTAAAGAGCAGCCATTTGGTGGTGCGGTTACAACTAGAGCACGCGGTGCAAGCAACATTCCAGCAGCACCACCCAACTTTGCTGCACCACGACAGATCCTCTTGACCATCTCCCTGGGTTTTCTGATGCTGCAACTGTCACAAATGCATCTGCATATTCTGGATGGAAAGTTTTAAAAATGAAAAGGGGTTGTAGCACTCTAACATACCTAAGAAAAGGTAGGAAATGGAATGGGATGGCTAAAGACATGTGCAAGGACGCTGACTTTCAAGGCTACTGTTAGCCTAGTAAATATGAAGAAAACAGCAGCAGCACTGTGAACACCCACAACTGACATCTATGCCTGGGAATATCTAATACACATATGTAATGTTGGTCTACTAACAAGTTATCCCAGGGTGAAACATTCATGTATTCTGAGGACAAGGAAGGTGAGGACCAATGGTGATTTTTAGAAAAGTTTTGATTTTGTCTATCACTTTCTTGTACTGTTCTTTTAAGGGAAATGGGGTCGCCTACCCAACACACTGTGCACAGGAATAAAAGAGTCAAGCCACATAAAATTTCAACCCTAATGCTTATCACCTAGGTGCTTTCCATGTGCCCGGTACTAGATTAAGCACTTTGCATACTGAGTGTCATCTATTCATTACAACCATTTTCTGAAGTACATGTTAGTATCTTCATAACAGACAGAGAAACTGGGGCTCAGAGAATTGAAACTGCCTACTGCTAGTGACAGGGTTGGGCTTCAAAGCCCATGTTCCTTTTAGGACACCACAGGCAGTCAGAGCCAAGAGTACATGACCCATAAATGGCATGAATAGGAGGCCCTGAACTGGAAGAGGAGGACTGGACCTGGTTTATATCTTCTCAGCCTCCAGTGATTTGTTCAGCTGTTTGCTTGGTATTCTACTCAGTGCTTCTGGTGACTCTCCAGCAAGATTGCTTGGCACTAGCCATATCCTTGCAGGTCAAAGAATAGTGGTTTCCGTCTTTAGGAAAGAGTCTCATTGAGCTCTGTAACACTGTCTTCATGTCAGGGGCCCTGTCCTTGCATCTTTGTCAGTCAGACTAATATACCAATTCCTCCTAGTCTCCCATGCCTCTCACTGGCCACTCCAGAGTTTATCTGCAACCACGGAGGCACAGAATGAGATGGGATGACTCAGAGCCCATGCAATCTCACTGGATTGCCCGGCTGGACCTTCAAGGCTACAGGTTGTAGGCTGTAGGCTACAAGCTTTTGGCAGGTGTGCTGCCAGCTCACCCTAGGCACAGCAGCTGCCTGGAGGGACCAGCAGTGCAAGCTAAGTGGGGGAGTTGATACCCTGTGGGTGAACTTTGACCAATGACAGATAGTTAAATTCTCCTTGTTCTCTGTCATTGTATTTCCATACTTTTTTTCTGGGAATGTCCCTAGTGACCAAGCAACCAGCTGTATTTTCTTTCGATGCTGTGGCCAGCTCAGTAACTTGACCTCCTTGTGTTTGCTTTGGTCCCTTCCTGGCTCACCCCCTCACTCTTGCTTCCTTGAGACTACTGAATTCCCCTTTCCCAATGAAGCATAAGCATGTCAGTTCTGCCTTAGGGAGCTTTCTAGAAAACCCAGGTAAAGATAGTGTGACAATAGTTTTCTTTTAACCTCTGATAAGTATAACCAGTGGTCAGGAGTAAGTGTGGATGTAAGGACCATTAAGTTAGGGAAAGGAGAACTGCTCAGCTTTGGGTGGTCAACCTGGACTTCATAAGTCAAAAAAGGTACCTCTTTCGTCTTTTTAGGAGGTTGTAGCTTTGAATTAAATTCTCATAAATCAAGAAGCCATGAAGAGTCAGCTGCAGAGATTCTCTTTCCTGCCACTGGAGTCCAAGGACAACAGGTAAATGGTCTTAATGGGTAAAACACTAGTGGGCAGGGGAGCGGATAGGGGGAGGGAGAAAAAGAGAGATAACACTACTAAATGAAACCCCAATTCTATTGATTTCTGGATTTCTGACGTTGAGATGCTCATATTGCTATCAAGATGAAATATATCCATGTGGCATGAAAAGAAAGAACAGTCCTATATTTGGATTTCTGTATAACACATGACAAATATCGAAAGATGACTAGTTTTTAAGAATTCAGAATGGAATGCTCACCACCAACTGAGATCTCTGCCCCACATATTCGAAACTCCTTGTTTTTGCTACATGCCAGTTTGCAGAGAAACAGGGTTGTACCCAGAGGAAGACCAGTGACTTGAGAACTGAGGGAGTAACCATGCAGAAAATGGATTTGTCTGTCAAACTTGTAGAGGATTAACCTGTTAACACTGGGGTATTGTGAGCAGCCTTGTTCAGGCTTCAAAGAGCATGAAATATTGACAGCTGATCCAAGCGAAATTACACGGGAAGGCTTCACGGTCACATCTCCTCTCTTGCATACATCTGCAATAAGACACAAGTCAGCACATAAGAAATCCATCTCAAAATGGTGGGTTTGTGTAATCCTCAAGAGCAAGGTAAAATTAATCCCATCAAATCATGGAAATATAAATAACCTAAACTGCTCTGGCTGAATTGGTGATGCACAATGAGAACAGAAGGTAACCACATTAAAGTCTAATTGTATTTGAATTAAAATACGCATCCTTCTCAAAACAGTTATACTATAACCAGAACCAAAAGTGCTGAGAAAATAGGGTTGGGAGAACATTCAGGAACATGGGACCAGGAAAAATCAACCTCTCTTATATGCAGATTATTCCTCAGGCTACTGAAAAGTACTTCCCAGAGTAAATCACACTTGTTTCCATTCTCATTTATGATTTATAAGGCTTACTTCAATACTCAGACCAAAAAGAAAAATAATGCTGTAAGGGGCTATTACAAACTACAAGGGATAGATTTAGGAATAACACTTTCTCTTGCTGTATTAATGGTATAAAGTTTGTATAATCTAGAACATTATTTTATAACAAAAGAAAATATTCAGTGGCTCTGTTATGTTTGTGGTTGGCATCAAGGATGAAAATTAGGTCTTACCATGCCATATTTTGGTATTCCTTCAAGATGCAAGACCCTGGGCTAGATGAACCATAACCCAATACAGCTAATGTGACACTACATGAAAAGAGTTTGTTTATTGACAGATACTACATTAAACTCATTAAAAGAGAGGTCATTCTTACTCTCCAGAAGCTTTTGTGTAAATAAATATGACAACTATTCAGAAATGAACAGTTTTTGGTGGTACTGCCAGTGAAAGAACATCACTGTTCAGGATTTGCCTGAATTTTCAATGTGATAGAGCCTCCCCCTGAACAAAAAAAAGTCTCTTTCAATTGTATGACTGTTTTAACTACACCCAAACAGAACTTGTGAAAAGCTGTTTATTTTTTTCAATGTGTATTTATTTTTGACAGAGAGAGAGAGAGAGAGAGAGAGAGAGCATGAGTGGGTGAGGGGCAGAGAGCGAGGGAGACACAGAATCTGAAACAGGCTCCAGGCTCCGAGCTGTCAGCACAGAGCCCAATGCGGGGCTTGAACCCATGGACAGCGAGATCATGACCTGAGCCAAAGTCAGGCAGTCAACCGACTGAGCCACCCAGGTGCCCCAGAAGAAGTTATTTATATCAAATAAATGAAATACTAAAAATTCCCTATAAATGAAAAATTCTTTTTTATTTTTAGAACTGAAAAAGTCTCTCCCTCTTTCCTCACCCTATCCTACTTGCATATTTGTTCTCTGCATCTCTAATTTTCATTGATCTTAAGTAAAAAAGTAAGCTCCCAAAAAAGAAAAGGCAGGGAAAACGTCAGCCATTATTTTTTTTACCATAGTTGAATTTGCTCATAAACACCCTCTGTTAAAATGCACTACCGTTTTAGTAAAACATTCATTCATGAAGTCAGCTTTGTGGTTACCTAGTCACTTAATGAGAAATGATATGATTGGACTCATGTTAATCAGTATAAATTAAATAAAATGCATATTAGTTACAGATATGGAACCAGATATACCCACTTAAAATGATAGAAGATTGACTACAAAAGACCAACTACCAGAACAATTGCCACGAATATATATTTCATCTGTAACAAAATTTAACCCATAAATCCTTCTACTGATTCAATTATAAAAATATCTTACCTATATTTGCTTTAGCCAACAACAACACAATGATAAAAATAAGTGCCAGTGAACACCCTCCATTTGTTTGTGCCATGAACAGTCAACTCTGGAACACACCTCTGTAATTTTCCTTGTAAAAGAAGACAAATTCATTCATGTTAAATACATTCAGAAAATACCAGGACCAACACCATTCAGAAAGGCTTAAAATGCCCCTTTAATCTCTCTGTATCATTAAGATTTGTTTTTTTTTTCTTTTTAAATGAAGTATACCTTAAAACTTGTAAACTGAAAATCTTAACCACCTCTAACCCCATTCACTTATGCTTCTTGGAGTTGGCAAAGGGTGGGAGAAGAGGTATGGCCTGTGGAGTCCTTTAGAACTGGGTTTAAGAACTCTGAGACTGGGAGCAAGTTACTTAACCTTCCGAGCCTCAGGGGCACACAAAAATTGTTTTCTTCCAAACAGCGTTGCACCATCATAGTCAAACATAATGGTGTTAAATCCCAAGACTAATGAGAATTTCTGATCTATTCATGTGCTTCCAGAACAGAAGATTAAAAAGTGGCTTATAACCCTCTCCTAGAACTTAGTGAAAAATCGATCTCTTTGGTCATAAGAAAGGGAGTTGTTTGAGTCTTCTACAGAAGTTCAATTTTACTTGTTTGTTTGCTTGTTTATTTATTACTCATTTATTTTACTAAGTATTCCTATCTCGAATGGTTCAGAAAATGCAAGCTGGTGATTTCTGATTGTTTCCAAATTTAAACCTAAGGAATGGTTCTACTAATCATTAGGGAATTCTCTAAATTCTATTTTAAGGTGGGCCAAAAATCCATAACATATGCTGGAAAGTTCTGCGATGTTAGGCTATTGGGAACCAGCCAATGCAAATGTTCACGTCTTACTCCCATGCCTAGAGATGTGCCAGAACATACTAGACATTCTCAGAAAAATTCACTTATTCCTTTAACAGGCTACCTTTCATGTGCCAGGCACAATGTTAAGTGCTAGAGATATAACAGTACTGCTCTAGTGTTTTTTGTTTGTTTGTTTGTTTACTTTTGTTTTTTAGTTTTGAGAGAGAGAGAGAGAGAGAGAGAGAGCGAGCAGGTAAGCATATGCAAGTAAGTAGGAGAGAGGAGCAGAGCACCAGGGAGGGGGGTGGGGGGAGAGGAAGGGAGACAGAGAGAATCTTAGTCAGGAGCCCTACACAGGACTTGATCCCACAACTCTGGGATCCTGACCTGAACCTAAATCAAGAGTTGGACGCTCAACCAACATAGCCACCCAGGTGCCCCGGCTCTAGTGGGTTTATAGAAATGTGCCCACGTACCCCTTTAACTTTTCTACCTCTAGCCTAGTCATCACTCATCTTTTCAATAGTCTTTGCTGGTTGCTCTTCCTTCTCCTCCTGACTTTCAACTCTTGGAGGACCTCAGCTCACTCAAGACATTATTTTCTATTTCTACTCCTGCCCCAGGAGATCTCATCTGGTCACCCAGCTCCACATCTGGTCACCCGGCTCTAGAAATCATTTGTATGCTAATGCCTCTCAGATGCACATCTTCATCTCAGACTCCAGTGTTCCAGTCTGTCTCTTTGCATCACCTCTTGATCTCTAATAGTACTCAATATTAACATGTTCAGTTGGTCTCCCTTCTCCAAATTGGTTCTTTCCCTAGCCCTTTTTATTTCAGTAAATAACATTCTTGCCCCCTAAGTTGCTCAAAAACCTAGAAGTGGACCTTGAGTCCACTCTCTTTCTCATTCCCTACAACCAAGTCATCACTAAGTCTCATTAATTTTACCTCCAAAATATATTACAGATCAATCCACTTCTCTCCGTTTCTACTGTCCTCACCCTAGTCCAAAAGCCAGTCATCTCTCCCCTAGATGACTATAGTAGCTCCTTAATGTGTCTTTCCAATCCATCCTTACCCCTTTCTAGGTCATTTTCACATACTGACTACCTTTTAGAAATATAAATAAGATTACATTACATGTTTCATACTACCACTATTCACAGCCCTTCAATATGTCTATCGTTGTTAGAATAAAATCCAAAATCCTCACCGCAGATGCTCTCTTGGGCAATGTATGGCCTCACTTCTCCTGTGTTGTCACCATCATTTGCCATACTTTTCTGCCTTGCTCACTCTGCTCCATTCATACTGGCTTTCAGACTGTGCCCCTAAATAAGGCATGTCTTTTGCTGCCCAGAGATTCTGCACTTTCCATTTCGTCTGCTAGAATCCTCTTCCTCTGTTTCTTAGTGGCTGGCTGACTTATATCCTTCAGATCTTAGATCATGTGTTACTTCCTCAGAGAGCCCCTCCCTGATCCCCTAGCCAAAGTGGTCTTGCCCAGCTACTTTCTACTCATCACCCTATTTATTGCTTCACGGTACAATCTGTAACTACTGTGTTTATTTACTTGACTACTTGTTTGTCATCTATTTTTGTGTGAGAATTTAAGCTACCATAAGAGCAGGAACACTGGCTCACTGCTCTATGCCAGCACCTAGCACTAGGAAAGAGTATTCAACAAACATTTATTAAAAGAAAGAAAAAGGGAGGAAGGGGAAAGAAATATGAGCTATTAAAAAACTCCTTATAAACATCCCTGTGGTAGGTAGAATAATGGCCCGCAAAAGATGTCCATGCCTTAATCCCTAGAACATGTGTATATATTACAATTCATGATAGAGGGACTTTGGAGATGTGATTACTGCTAAGGATCTGAGATGGGGAGAATATCCTGTGTTATTCAAATGAGCCCAATCTAACCAGGTGAGTCTTTAAAAGTAGATGAGAGAGGCGAAAATGTCAGTCAGGGAGCTATAATATGACAGGGACTGATATGAGAATCTACAGTGGCAGATTCAGGGGGGTGCCATGAGCCAAAGATTGTGGTGGCCTCTAGGATCTGAGGGTGGGTCTCAGTTTACAGAAAATATGAAATGTGTTTCTTATCGGTCTTGGTTTAAAATGTTTGAAAAACACTGATCTAAATTAAAAGCTGATAGTTTCCCTTTCTCTAAACATCCAGTCCAAGGTCACAGCCTACAATGGCCTCTGTGAGCTAATTTCTGTCTATATTACCAACCACATCCATCTCTACTCTCTAGCTGCTTAGTTTTCCTGCAACATCCTGTTGATGTTATTCTCTTACTTTTCCACTGTTCTTAGAATGGCTAAATCTTTTTTTTAATTAAAAAAATTCTTTTAAGTTTATTTAGTTTGAGGGAGAGAGAGCGTACACACAAGTGGCGGAGGGACGGAGAGAAGGAGAGACAGAATCCCAAGCCATCAGCGCAGAGCCCAATGCAAGGCTTGAACTCACAAACTGTGAGATCATGACCTGAGCCGAGATCGAGAGCCAGACGCTTAACCGATTGTACCACCCAGGTACCCCTAGAATGGCTAAGTCTTATGCATCCATTCCAACTCAGCTCAGACACCTTTTAGTCAGCCATTCAATCAACAAATATGTATCAAGCAGTTGCTGTGTGGCAGGGGCTAGGGATAGAGTGAAGAACAAGATAATGAGGGTTTCTGCTCTCATGGAACCAACGTTTTGGAATAAGGAGACAGAAAACAAATAAATAACAAATTCAGACAATGATAAAAGGAAACCACAAAAGAAGCTAAGGGGAGAGAAAGACTGGGGAGGAGAGAAGCTGGTCAATGCAAGAGGTGAAGTTGGAGCTGAGACTGGCACAAGCCAAGTGAAGACTCAGGATGAAGCCCAGAGGCAGAGGAAAAAGCTGGCTATGGGTGAGTCACAGAAAAAAAAGGGCAGGTTGGCAGGGGAAGTGACTGTGGGGAGAATGGTAGGACATGAAATGGAGAAGAAGCCAGGAACCACATCTACCATGGGTTTGTTTACCATGGAAGGGAGCCTGGATTTTACTCTCAAATCTATAGGAAACCACTGATGTTTAATTCAACGTTTTTAAAAAAAATTATTTTTTTTTCAACGTTTATTTATTTATTTTCGGACAGAGAGAGACAGAGCATGAACGGGGGAGGGGCAGAGAGAGAGGGAGACACAGAATCGGAAACAGGCTCCAGGCTCTGAGCCATCAGCCCAGAGCCTGATGCGGGGCTCGAACTCACGGACCGCGAGATCGTGACCTGGCTGAAGTCGGACGCTTAACTGACTGCGCCACCCAGGCGCCCCTAAAAAAAATTATTTAACTGAGTTTTAATTGGGGATAAGTCAAGGTGTTACAAGATATGAATTACATTAAACAAACACATGCAAAGGCAAAAAAACAAACAAAAAAGTTAGTCTTGGCCTCGTGTATGGGGACCAGAGTAAAGCCAGCAGACCAGTAGTGTCTATTCATGTAGTGTCTATTTTATTTCTATTTTAATGTAACTACAACTACATTAAATCTGATTCTGCCACATCATGGCTGACATCATTAATAGTAAGTTTTTCTTTATTATCACTACCTTAGTTACTTCATTAAAATGTGGAATATTCTAGCATAAAGAAAATTACAAACTGAATGAGAAGACAACTAGAAGATGATTGGATTATGAACAAACAGTTACATAGGGGATTAAATAAATTTCTGCTTCTTGACTATAAGGGGTATCTACAGGGTATCTTTCAATATGCTTTGCAATTTATGGAGCTATGACATTATCCAAATAAATAAAATAGTAATAGCAAAATATTTAATTAGTTATAAGAATGTTTTAAATGTATAAATATGAAATATGCATATATAAAACACATATTAAATATGTACATAAGAAATATATATGAAATATACATATATGAAATACACACACACACACACACACACCCCTATATATGAAATAGGCAAATTAGAGGATAGAGTTGAGTTTATACAGTACATTGAATTTGCTCAAACACGTGTTTGCTCATTTTCTTTGAATACCCAGTAAAATAGTTTCTCCTCTTATAAGAAACTCAGAACCCCAAGACCTTCAAGTAAATGAGGTATCTTCTAATAAAATGAAACTTCCTATCAACTGTAAACATCTTTCAGACAGTCTGCCTGGAGAGTTGATATTAAAACTACAACTCTATCTTGAATCAGAAAATCAAAGAGAATGCT